GGAGAAGGGCGACAGGTTGCTGCATGTTCGAACGCAGGTGGAGGGGGAAAAACTCGGTCCGTCAGATAAAAAAATGGACTGGATTCCCACGAATGTGGCTCCAAGGTCCGAACTGCCGGCGATTGCCGTCGTAGATCTCCTCCCCAACTATCCCGGCAAATGCCGTCGGGGCGATTGACGTTAGCCCGACCTCCTGCCCAACTGCCTTCATGCCTTCCTTCGAGATAGAATTCCTCCAGGCTCAAGAAGGGAAAGAAAAAGCTGTTTTGTGTTAATTACGAAATAAAAATCACAAAAACGTCCATCGGTCGCCACCCTGTCGAGGACCGCTCCCTTGATCCCAAACGCATCGTCAGTCTCCCTCAAGATGTGCAAGCTTTCCGTGTCAGTAGATAAGGAAGTCACCTGTACGAAGAATCGAATGTATGAATTTGTTGACATACCAAGAACCACCTGCAGGAAGCAACCCCAAAGATTTGGAATTAATACCAGTTTGTCCCCGATAGGAACACGCGCCTCCCAATCGATTTGGCTGTAGCCCAAAGTACTGAACTTTTAGAATGATCTTCGCTTTCTTCTTAAAGGTCAGCACCTCAGACTACCTTGCGCACCAGGGAGATCGATATCCGATGAGGATGTTATAAGAGCGATCACAATCAAACAGGTAGGTATCTTCCTTCCAGCCCCTCACCATGTCTCTCGAAAGTGGCAAATACGAGATAAAAAACGCAGAAACGTTCATCAATCGCCACCCGATCGAGGACCGCTCCCTCAATCCCAAGCGCATCGTCAGTCTCCCTGAAGATGTCCAAGCTTTGTATGTGAGTCCCCCCACCGCTCTCGTTGTCGCTCACTCACACCTTATCTCCACAGCCTTGGACCGTCGAAAAGGTGGACGACAAATACCTCCTCAAGGCCGGTGGCGCTCCGACCGGCGAACACGAGGGGCATGTTTACGCGCTCTTGATGTACCAAGAAAAGACTGAACACTGGGTCCTCGACCCCGCCGAATCCCCGAACTCGAACTGCAAGTTCATGTATGTCGACTCTTCAAGGTCCCCTTCAAATTCTCGGATCTAACGTCACTTTTGTCTCCAGCATTCGTACCAAAGACCGCAAGAAAGGGTGGGTTGCTCAAGAGGGATCTACTCATGAGGATCTTAAGAAGGTAAATATGCACCATTCGAGTGTCGAGAGGCAAATAATTGACGGTTTCAAGGTCAAATGCGAGCCCTTGTCAGGTTCTGACGGCAACTATCCCGCAAACGAGATCTTCCAGTTCTCTAAAGCGACCGCCGACTAAGCAGCTCGAAGTAACATTTCATAACGAAAGAAAAAAGACAGGCCATGTACTAAATAGTAGGAATCCCAAAATGTATAAGTCTTGCTGACACGATAAGGACCATAGTATGGCGAAGCAGTGGCAGTCACTGGAATTACGAGGCTGCTCAGCATGCTGCCAGGGTACTGTTCTCGCTCCCGAGAAGCGAGGTCTAAGCTGACGAGTTGAATAGGCAGTCTATGGTAAGGAGCCTGACATGACGCGAGAGGGAGGCTCCATCCCTGTGACCTTGACTTTCGCGGAGTCACTTGAAGTCAACGTTCTCTTGTTGCCCATGGGTAGAGGAGACGACGGTGCTCAGTAAGTTCAATCGAGTTGCGATTTCGAGTACTTTTGCTAACGACCGTTCGAAACCAAGCTCTACGAACGAAAAGCTCGATCGATTGAACTTTATCGAGGGTGTAAGTCCACATTCGTTTTTGTACGACGATGAGGAGCACGATACTGACTGATCTCCGTCAATTATAGACCAAGTTACTAGGAGCCTATCTCTACGAGATTGCTGCCATTGCAAAGTAATTATTGTCTTGGGGGACGTCGGGCAGATTCATGGACTTTTCCACAAGCGGATTGATGTTATCCGGGGTTTGTGGAGGTACCAACCTGGTGCGAAAGATATGTATAGCATTCAATAGAGACGCGTCTGCTAGGAAACTCACCGAATATTGAACTTGCCGATAACCTTTGCGGGAATGACCTAGAGGGGTGGTTGAAATGTTTAAATGAAAATCGTCACGGAATGATCATTCTGAATTTAAATGCTCCCCCCCCCCCCTCGATTGTTCTACCGGGGCTTGGAAAACCTCCCCAAGTAACTGACTGGAGGTCTTTCCATCATTGCTGGCTGGCCCTGCGGCTTTCCTGCCTGTATACACGGCCAAAACGAATCACTTCGGAGCCACAACCACGGTCAACCAGTCGGCAGACGAGGTCATTGCTGATTCAGATTGTAGAGTTAAACAAGGGCCGGGGCCCAGGCGCCGCGCCGCGCCACATGCATGGACAACACCCCCAAACACCCCTAAACACCCCTTTCCCATTCCATGAGGATGAACTCCTCTTGAACCCAAACGACCATCATCTCTGCCCTCAAGCTCAGCATGGCCAGACTCCCCAGTTTCGGTCCTCGGTGCCGGTGAGCTCTCAATAGTTTTGAACTGGAAACTGGAGTCTGACCTGTACACCATGTAGCCTATGAGTATACACACTGCAGATTCGTTTTGACTATATTCCACGTCGCCCCGATTCAAAGATCCCTATTCAAAAATCCGCAGCTCAAACCAGTCTCTTATCCCAATCGGCAATCCCTTGTTTCAAGCATTTCGTTCAAATCTTTCATTCAAATCCTTCATTCAAATGCCCCGTTTGATTCATCTGATTCGACTCAAATGCCTCTGAACCGTCGTTCCGGATCCTCTGTTTGTCTAGACTAATCTTAAAGCCGTATAGGAGTATATACTCAATCATGACCTGACTGCGCTGCTTTATCTTCGATTGGCAGTATTACTGACCCAGTAAGTATCACGAAGCGGCCATCTATGAAGGGAATATGAACGCCCTTTCTACAAGGCATTTAAATACGGAGTGATCACTCGCAGATGTTGTTATTTAATTATTTTATATTATTTGCCTGGAATGACAGTCTTGGCACCCGTTCCATAAAAGGAACCTTCGATCCCATGCAACGACAAACTCGGCATTCTCATTCGTCCCATCGCCACTTTCACCTTGTCCGACGACAAACATCCTATTCGAGCACTAAAAGTTACCGTAGGTGACGGGGATAATCACAAGTGTACTCTCTGTCGCCTATCATTACCTTTGGGGAACATCGTGTCCTAAGAAACGTGGCTGATACATTCTTTGGCGAGTTGAGCTGGGTTGTCAGCGGATCTGCGGCCCGCTTACATTACGCCAGCCGCCCTACGGAACGGAAGAGTTCAGTGTAGTTTGAGCCGTGTTGTGATTTGCTGATGGAAAACCCTTTGTGTAGCGGGTGGGAGAAGGAGCCTGATCATAGCCAACGCTTTATCTCAAATTAGTTGTACAGCAAGCCTGGTCTAAGGAAATCTGTCCCTCTAGTCCAAGACTTTCGCTGGGTGTTGAAGCCTTTGAATTCAAGATGAAGTCGCGACGCAGTGCTCAGGCAATTCATCTTTGGACTCAGTCGACTTTCATGGACGAATGGCATATCGGACAAGTTTGACTTCGAGAGGATACGGTCCACCCACCAATCTACGAAGATTGCTGGCAACTTTTTGACTTCGACTTGTATTGAGACTACGTGGGTGTCTCATTGAAGCTATCTGCCGAGGGAATCTATCGCGTTGAAGTCGCTCATAAAGCTGAAAAATCAAGGCTGATCATCGTAACAAATTCGATGCAGAGATTTTGCCAATCCTCAATTACGCCCTACAAACATACAAGTTTACGAATTGTCACCCGGGGATCTAACCGAACGATACACTCTCTCCAATGCCTATCCTTGACCCTCCTTCGGGCTCCCCAGCCGTTCATGATTTCATACAGTCTATCGGCGTGACTAGGCTAAGCCCCTCCTTCTCTGCGCTCATCACCGTCGCTGTGGTCTAGTATCGACGATGGAGAGCCTAGTGAGGTCTTCTGAAGCTCAATCGCATCGCCTAGGCAAAGTTCCAGCCTGTTCGCCAATGGAGAACCCATCTGACTGTCCATGTCTTCAGCCTTCGGCTCCGAATCGAAATTGAGCCGCCGGGCGAGGCGACCTAGAGCGGCTTTACCTCTCGAGAGTCCCTCTGCACCTCCAAGGCTACTCATCTCGGGGTCTAAATCATATTCATCTTGAGAGTATGCCTCCTTGTACGGTTGCTTAGGTGGAGTACGTGGGCTTGTACTGAGAGCCGATATGTCGAGAGAGCATCGATCTATCAAGACTCTGTCTCCGTTCTTTTTGGGAGTCTGAGGGTTGGAAATAGGCTGCTTCTCCTCCTCGCTGTCCGAGTCGTCGTAGAGACACTGAGACCCGACGTTCGATGTAATTTCTTCTTCTGGGACGGGCGTGCATGTGGGAGACGAGTGAACAGTGGGCTGGGAGGAAGATCTGAGGGCGGACGATGAAGGTGACGCGAGGTTGTTGTTTTCTTGCATGGGAGTCATACGAAAATAGGTGAGTTTCTGCGGTTGATTATCCTACTAACTGCAGTTACCTGATTATATAGCATCACGCGTTCAGTGGCACCGAAGTCTGGTTTTGCAGTTCTACTATCCCGAGACTTGATCCTTGCTAAACGAAAAATATTGTCTATCTCGAAGATTATGCGGAATACATAACGTTTATTTAGAATATTCCTTTTCTGTTGTTTTCTGGGAAATCGACAAGGGAAGGCGCGTCAGAGTCATTGTTCTTTCCTCTTCTTGCTCACGACATTCATTCTTCGAAATTTGTCGATTCTCCGCGTCATTCCTTGCCATGAACTTACTGTTCTTCTGCCGGCGCCTTTGTTCCATTTATTGACCGCCGTTTCGCTTAGCCCGTTTCGAAACGCAGTGGGACGTGCAAGTCAAATGGTACATCCATGTTCGGGCAGATTCCTGAATGCGGGGTCAGTCAGCAGGGAGTTATCCTCAATACGGAGCCACTCAACAGTCTGTAGTTTTGACTGTTCTCTTCTTGGCAGATTCCCTGGTAGTATATCGGTTAGTACACGCGCCTGTCATGTCGTCAGCATCAAGTTGGGCTACCCGACGCGCGAAAGCTGGGTTCGACTCCCAGCCAGGGAGAATTTCGTTTTTGTTTTTGTGCAGATCGAGATTACGGGTCGTCTCTTACGTCTGTGAGACAGCCCCGGGACAGTCAGTGTTCTAAGCAGCTCATACGCTCCATCGATGTAACCCCTGAATGCTGAGGTACGTTCCGATTCACTCACCTGCCCATCAAAGATTTTTGACGTCTGGTACAGAAATGAGGTCCTGAAACACCCGCTGGATCATGGGTATGCTCATATTATATGCCCAATTTATTGATCATTGAATTCACAGAGTAATAGTACCTCTTGGTAGGTACTAGACTCAGGTCTGAATGGCGAGAGTGCCTTGCCATGCGGAACACGCACTTACTCTCGAGTATAAAGAGTGTTCATCCCATCGGAAACCTCAACTCGACACTCATCGATGAAGAAACTGGCGACTATTTATGCTCTCCCAGCCCTCTTCCTTCTCGCCGCAGCCCAAACCAAATGCATCGGGACTGATCGAGGGACGGACTACTGCTGTTGGCCGGGCCCGCCACAAAGGGTGTGTGCGCCAGTCGGGGGAAGTGAGTACTATTCTGATTGGTTCGTGTCCAAATAATCCTGGCATTGACTTTGTTTGGTTCTTCAGAGGCGGCGAATGGGTTTTACTGGTGAGTTGAATGCCAAAACTCTAAACCCCGACGAGCATTACATTGATGTTGGAATCAGCGACTGGAGTGGAGTTAACCAGTGCTGTAAGCACGGATCTGGAGCTGAAGGATTGGATTGTACTATAACGAATGATATGTGAGGCCAGTGGATGATGAGAATGTGTACTAAAAGAGAATTTATGGAAATCCTGCCTGAAGATTCGAAACGAAGGAATCGGTCGATGTGATTGTCGCGCGAAGAGAACGGGATCAGCCTTGTAAATCCGGGTACTTACCAGACAGGGAGCACACTGATGTAAGGCTGGCTATCATATTACATTTATTCAGACCGCGTCGGCGTGTCTCCAGCTTCCGGATTCACAGTAGCTCTGAGGCCCAAGGAGTTGGCAACTCTCCTGCCTCCAGGTCGATGTTGCGCTTGGAATGAGGACGCATCGAAGAGGATAAAAGACATCAAGAGGTCTGAGCGTGTCACTGGGAAACTCGGAGTCACCATGTAGTAATTCGGACGAGGACGTCCCAAGCATTGGTATAGTTCCTGAATACGAGAGTATGAGCGCTGAGGTACGATCTCACTTACTTGACCAACAAAGTTTTCTGACACTTGAGAAGCAAATGTATCAGGTTCCGGGACGCCCTCTCAGTCACGAGTACGCACATCTGATATACAGTATGTGTCAACATCGTTAATCATTCAACTTCCTGAGGACTAGCGGGTATGGGCGCCTCGAAGTCGCGGGGAAATGCTAGGAATACGCGTAGCTCCAAGCTAACCTCTCGAAAAGCAACGCTTCACCACCGCTTGGAGTCTAGGGCCCCGAGCACGACAGGTAGAACGTCGTAGCCTGGACGGAAGATTCTGCGCGTTTCGGAAAGATTAATGAGGGCTGGTACAGAAATCAGGAGCCTAAGATTACGTGCTTGGCTTGACTTGAGCAGGTTCTCAAGTTTCCAGAGAGAGGAGCAGTTCGTGCACGAAGCTTGCAATGAGCTGCAAACGGTGAAACGGTCCAAGAGGGGTATCATCCAGCCAGCCATCGTTAATGGCACTACAGGTGAGAGTAAAGATGAATGCTTAATATTCAGCGCTTCAGAAAGAGGAGTTGCGTCTCATTTGTTTGCCATAGAGTTGAGGAAGAGCATCAGCTCAGCGAGTTAATGAACGTTGTGGACAACAGTCACTGAACGAGCCTGCGGATTTGTCAGCATCGACGTCGTTGGACTCGACCACCATCATCGCAATGCTCCTTAACCTCGACGTCCAGCATCGTCTGTCCTCAACTTTTTCGACCATAATCCCACGTCTCAAGCCTGGCCTGTTTATTCTACAAGGAACATCAGCGAAATCAAGAACTTCTTCAGGTCCTCTGCTCACTCGAATTCTGCATGGGGGAGCGGTTGGGCTCTATCGTGAATATCGCGTCTGTTCTGGTTGGTTATCACCAAGGTAGCCGAGAAGGATGCTGAGTGTCGGAAGATGAGGCCACAGGTGATGAGTCGGGGAAAAGCCTAAGGTTGGGAGGTTGAGCCGAGCCGAGAAGAACAAGGAGAAAAACTAAGAAAGTCAAAGAGATGGACTGTTGATGAGGAACCGAAGAAGACAAGACTATTTAGACGCGTAACCTCAACAACATCACGCGAGAAGAATATTCGACCCTCTCTCTACAAGGGCTTGTCCAATAATCTGCGGAGACCACTTGCTCCAAGCACCTCTCGATTTATGCTGAGCCCGAGTTCAAGGCCATTCTTCGCATCAAGCGGTTAGGAATTGACCCTTTGTCGCAGTTGACTTGTGCTGATGGGCTCTGATTAGTGTGTCCTACAGCCTCGAGTTGAAGAAGCGCAATACAATCAAGCTTCATATGCGACGGGTCTTCAACGATTACATAACTATGGATGTCTGAGGTTTTTTGACTGCCTCAGCTTTGTCAAAAGTCTCGCTACGCTCGCACGACGAAAGAGCGAATCTGTCAAGGCAATTAAGTACGCTTCGGTTGGCATTTCTCCGCGTTGGTCAACATATACTGAAGATAGTCAGTAATCATTCACACAGACAACTTCGACTGTGCGGTCTATGTTAAGCACCGCTCGTTCAATCTGGGACTGTATAGAGTGACCTAAGAACGGGCACAAACTTCAATGCGTTTCCTCATCATATCCCGGCGCAGTCGGTCAATATCAACCCACCCCTGTTTCTCAATGCTTTCTACGGTTCCGAAACTCTGAGTCGATCCAGTCATTTCTTCTTTGACGACATATAAAGAAGTTGCTCGCTCTCCTTTCTCCAGGACTCCCATGCCTTCCCTCGCCCAGACCAAAGCTTTCAACGCCTCTTTCACGCTCCCCAGTACCGCCCCCGTCGCGGTGCTCGTGGGTGGCTCAGGCGGTATCGGAGCCGCGGTTGCAGAAGCTCTCGCACGTTATGCGAACGGCAACATCCATATCGTCATCGTTGCTCGCAATGAGGAAGCTTCTAGGAAGGTTCTCCAGGCTTGCGTTGGCCCTCTCTCTTCAGAGTCGTCTACGCCGGTCATCAGGGAGTTCGTCGAGTGCGACTACTCGCTCGTCGAGAGCACGCGCTCTGCTGTTCAGGCTGTTGCGGGGTTTCTGAAGGATCGTGCGAGCACTGGTATTATCGACTACCTAGTGTTCTCCTCCAACTTTGTGAGCCTTGAGAACAAGCGGAACGATACGGAGGAAGGACATGATTATCAGCTACGCGTGAGGTATTATCATCGGTTCCAGATGACCTATGCGTTGGCTGCGTCGGGCTTGTTGGGTGATGGATCGAGGGTCTTGACGATTTTGGGGGCTGGGAAGAAGGGCGTGAAGGTTGAGATCAAGGGAGAAGATTTTGAGTTTAGGGAGAGCGAGGTTGGGAGTGGGAAATTGGGTCCGGTTGTTTCGACTGTGTATACGGATATCGGGTTCAAGGTTGGTGGTATCTTTTGGAATACTTGTGGATCGGTATGTTGACTTTTCTTTTGGCGTTTAGGAATTTGCTACCCGCAACCCCGCTATTGGCGTCACCCATATGCATCCCGGGTTTGTTCGTACTGGGTTGATCACGAACATCCTCGATGGCATACGTAAGAAGGCTATTGTTGGCCCGTTGCTCTACTTCCTCGCCAACGTCGTCGTTGCTGGGGTCACTATCCAGCCTGGAGAGTCGGCCGAATACATGATCTACGCCTTGTTCAACGGGAAGGGTGGAGATGGAACGTTCCATCGCCGTGACAGGATTGGGGACGAGATCAAGGAGATCGTCGACCACGAGGGTGTTGACCCGGAGAAGCTGTATGAGCATTCACTCAAGGTTACGGAGGTGGCTTGAGACCTCTCGCAGCCGCGATTTGGTATATAGGTATGGGCCTTTTCTCTTTGAGGTGCAGAAGCTGACGTGAAACTGCTGTGACAGATACTTGTTTTTGAGGCTACGAAAGCCCTATATGAATGGATGGAATCATTGCCATTGGCCAGTCTGGAGGCCATTTCACTCTCCCTCATGCCCCCGTCGAACTTTGAGACGACTTTCCCGTCGAATGAAAGCATAAAAGATACCCGACAATTTCGATACCCGTTAGACATCATACCCGACACGCTCGATAGATACCACTCAGCTGTATTTCTAGGCCTACTGTATTGTCACAATTCCAACTGGTTTACGCATTCAGACATGAACAGGAAAGGTTCGGTCAAAAACCCTGATGGCATGTTGGGCGTACCGGGATGTGGATGACTTACACGGGACGCGAGGTCCAACGAACCCATGTACAGTGAAGGAACGTGCCGTTGAACATGGCACGAACATGGCATGGGCAAGAAGAAAGGGGATTATTAGGCAGCAATAATCCGCTTTGTTCATGTTAGCACCATGTTCGTGCCATGTTCAACGGCACGTTCATTCACGGAACATGACGCGCAAGTTCACCGGTACTTGCATCCCGTGTTATTGGCGCTCTCCGGCGAATGGAGGGGGTGTGGCGGCGCTATTGCTGTCCAAGCCATGAGGCTGCCCATGTTCGGGTCACGGCGAGCTGCGTTTGACTTGCAAACACTGACAGTGCTGCTCACCTCACCTTGCGCTGAACATCGCATGAATCCCTCTGAAAGTTCCTCAACCCTTCCTCCTTCTTGCTCCATCACAAGCACCGAGGATCTTCGACAAATACTTTCATCACCGAACGGTTCCTCCAACTCGATCCGTCATGCGCTTCAGATGCCGTTGAAATGCTGTATACAGTTCGTCGATCCCACCCGACAACGCCTTCTCATGTTACGGAGCCGCCTTGCATTCACACGAAAAGGAATACCGCGTTAATGGTGGCATAAGCTACATGATGAGATAGGGGGTATACCATAGTCAATAAGTTAGAAA